TCCTTAAATTAAAACCTCCACAAACACATGCTCGTTGTTGAGATGGTGTTTTTTTTCCTCCCCACAGTATGTGTAAATAACACTGTGTGAATCGACTGTGTATTCCGGCACTGATAAGTAGAAGGATGGAATTATTGGAGACACAGTGAATGGTCATTTTTGTCCATGTTAAAATGTGTTAAAATTTCAATTTAAATAATTTCACAAATTGACGTTCAATCTGACAGCTCTAATATATACATTTACACACACACACATATATATATATGTCTACAGTTATATGGCTGTATTGTGAAATTCACACACTGAAGCCCAAATGTGGAAACACACTACGAGCTCCACAACAGCTGAAAGTATTTGTAGCAAATGACAAACACCAGCATATGCCCTTGTGGTAGGAATCATTGAATGGCCACAACTTGACTTGAGAGTAACTTTTCTGGACGACCCATGCTGCTGATACACGGGGTGACAGTCACTGATACCCCTGCCCTTCAGAACGCACGGGGGTGTCACTGAGGAGAAACGGTGGGCTGGAATGTTCACCCGGGACACATTTACAGCCGGTATTTGGACTGAAGTAAATTTGTCATGCAGTTTTTTTTTAATATACACACTTTGGATAAAATAATTTGGTAATTTATTGTCGTTCTTCTATCATAAAAAAACAAACAAACAGAAAAACTTGAATCCTGCATTGTGTGGCCTGGCATGCTCGAATGTAAAAGCATTTATCACAAAACGCAAAATTCAAGTGTGTGTGTGTGACAGAGAGAAGGAGAGAGAGAGAGAGAGAGAGAGAGAGAGAGAGAGAGTGGGCGAGCGTGCGTGAGAGCCTGCATGGAAGCCAATGTGTGTGTATCTGGGTGTGTGTGTGTGTGTGTGTGTGTGCGCCCTCTTCCTCCTCCAGCTCATCAGTGAGTAGCTGAACTCTCCACTCTTATGAAGACATCAGTGTCTTTTCAAGAAGACAGCCATAGAAAAGTAGGCCACGCTCAGAAATCCGGCCTCACAAAATATATATCACACGTGAACTTGAACAATTCTATCGTCTGGGCAAATTTGTCCTCGCTCCATCAGTCAGAGAAAAGAGATGAAAGGCAGGGGGAGACACTGAGTCTGACAAAGACGGATGTTAATGAGGACGTGGTTGAACTCTTCTTATCACTCCCAGACACACATCTCAACAGAGTCAAGTTGAAGTAACTTGATATACAGTATATATATGCAGTTAGGTCTGAATTATTTCCTTACATTTTAATTATATTCAGGGCCATAGTCCAGGACACACAACAGATATACAGGTGCTGTAATTAACACTGTGTATCGAGTAAACAGTACACACTGATAACTTGGAGATCAGGATATTTGTCTAAATCTAATGCCAGTTTAATTCCAGTGAAGTTGTCGTAGAAGAAGAAATTGAAGGCGTAGAAGAAAAAAAATTGAAGGAAAAGTATTTCACTGTGAGGTCTTCCTGTTTTGTCCAGCTCTGGTTTTGATGGTTTTTTCATTTCATCCCTCTGTTTTGTTTTATTTTACTATTTCTCTCTTTCTCTCTTTCTCTTTCTCTCTCTCTCTCTTTCTCTGACACACACACACACTGATTTGTGTGTTTTGGGAGGACTCTCCATAGAAATAATGCGTTCCCTTGACCCAAACCCTGACCTTAACCTCTGCAAATATATTTGTGGTCTTAATCCTTCTTTGTTCTCTAATCTGAGCCTGATCTTAATCCTAACTCCAAACCTTGAACCTTGAACCTCAAATTACAAAAAATGTCCCCTCGAGTAAAAGTCCTTATCAGGAACTTGACTTTTCCAACGACAGTTTCTCTGATTTTGTACCAAAGTTTTGTCCTGAAGAGGTCAGTCTAAGTCCTGCAAGTAAACACGTTATTTATGGATCCTCCCTGAATCTTCTCTGTTTGATACTTTCCGTTTTACTCCTCTTACGTTCCAACTTCTTCAAGTGTTTTGCAGAATGTTATCAGGAGATGTAACACATTTTCTGGAAATGGATTTAGTTGCAAAACAGGACTGTTTAGTCAACAGTAATAATAAAAAAAAAATTCAAATTTCTTTTAAAACATCTGTTTAAAAAAGGAGAAAAAAAAAGAAACAGCAAATGGTGTCACCTATGAAACAGTGAAATCAAGTCAGGTTGCAACTGTGGTCATCGATGAACAGATTGCACTAGTAACTCCGGGGTGTCAGGGGGTAAGTGACAGGTAGGTGATGTACTAACACCACTGCTGTTGCCTGAGGTTTGGTGTGCAGCAAAGACGATACTTCCGAGCTCCGCTCTTACACTTGCCTTTGCCACCTGCCCCCTCCCCCCCGCCCCCCCCCCTCCCCGTTCCGTCTTTGG